GCCTCGTGTGATTGACGAAATCAGAAGAGACCAGCCCTGGGATAACTCGAACGATAGGGGGCTGTTGGGAGGGAATAATAGGTGCACACATTAAGCATGTATGTCACCGTGTTTTGCCTAATTCATGACCACAAGGCAAGCGCACACACCTTGGTTGTAAACTACTATCAATCTCGTTGACCGGACCGGCGCACCACCAGTGCCCCCGATTGGCTATGTAAATATATACACCTGTACAGTGGTTGCAGCTGTATCCTGCTAAACGCTGCACAGTGGGCCTAGCCTTAGCGCCCAATGTGCCAACCTTGTATGCTTAAGCTGTAAACAACTGTATACTACGTGGTGATGGGTCATGGGTTGATGGATGGGGCCTCGACTACGTTCAGGTGCTCACATATCACCCGACCATCCTCATGAACATCCACCCGACTTCCCAACTATCGTCTTCCCTTTGCCCATGGAGAGGGTGCATGTCTCTTTGTCGGCATCGGGGCAAAAGTTTTGGGATGCCACGTGAGTCGCGACACCCTAGTGCCTGAGTTCGCGATGAGTCCTGTGTAGCTACGACCTCCACGGTGGCACCAAGCTCTCACCAGAGCTCGTCCTGCCATCGGGGAAGCCATTTCATCCACCCCTTCCAGGTGACGATGGACGTCAGCGCCTACAAACCTTGTTCACATCATGATCGCGTGATGGGAATTGAAATCATGCGCTTGGCCATAGTGATGACTTCGATATGCTGAGCCTTCTGTGGTATAGCCGAACAGCGGTTGCAGGTGATCCCCCGAAAGTAACCCTGATCGGCCCTCGAAGCCCTGTGCCCAAGATGTTCCCACTGTGTGCTCCCGACCACGGTCATTATCGTTATCAACTACACATTCAAGGAGAAAGGTCCTTGTTCTGAGTAAAGCAGCCCATCACATGCCTCTTGAAAGATACCAACCATTGGACGTCAAAACGCTGTGGCCCATCTATCCTGGGAAGGCAGGCCACAGGTGGGATCGCGACAAGCCTCTTCCATACTGTACAATCCAGCTTAGCACGGTAACGCCAGTTCCGGAAGAGAAGACGCATTACTCGGTGTGCGGCAAAAACAACTTGGCCGAACTTTGCCCCTTTATGAAACAAGGCGGAATAGCGAATTTCGAGAAGTCAGTCCTCGCCACCGTGCCTGGCCATATTGTTCTTATTCGCCGTCCAGGCACATGTTGAAACAGATAGAGCCGCGTATCGACGCCGTTGTGCATAGAGTAAGGTCGGTGGCCTACTGAGTCACGGTGACCACAACTCAGGTCGTTATCGAACCCAATCGACCAGAGCCATTGCATGAGCCTCATGTCGCCACCTTGGGGCCGCACTTCGGGAAGGTCCATCTCCCTCGGCCCTACCAAGAAGCCATAGACCGGCTGGATCGTAGCAAATCGCCATCAACAGTCCCGTAAAGCCCCTTGTAGATACAAGACGCCCTGCGATGAAGACCAACCCATTCGGTATCCCCATGTACGAGCTCCGATCGGGCCCGCATGAAACGAAGCACATCCTCGATCACCGACACGCCCATCACGACCGGGACCCAGACGCTGTAGATTTCCCGAAGAGTTTCCGCGATGTGGCGAAGAGGAGAGACAACTGGGAAGAGGTGAACGCGTATCTCGAGAAATGAATCGAGTCCCGAATTGGACCCGTCGGTGGAATCAGATCCGAGTCAGCGCTCTCCACAACGGCAAGATGGGCCTCTTCGACGCTCGTCACCCGCCGAAGAATCCCGAAGCCGTGGACAGGGAAGCGTATGAGTGCTCCCGATGTCATGGCTCAGTAGCTGCCTCAGTTACTCGGAGACTTACCCCCTATATGACAGAAATCGGATGCCTCCAGAGCTCCGTCATCCTGCTCATGATTACGAAGGCTTCCATGACCACATAGGAATCTTGTACGAATCGACAGCCCGCGAAAGCACAGGACGAGAGCTCTGTCAGGCATCCTTCTATCGAGTTCCGGCACTGGGTGCATTTCGCCAAAGTCAAGTTGGTCGATCTTGACACACATGAAATTCTATGGGATAAGGTCTATGAGGTGGAATGAGCCGGGCTGGCAGATTTCGACTTCGATGATATCAGGTGCATGGTCACAAGATAGCGGCAGATCAGAGAGACATCGGCGGCCCAGTCGAGTTTAAGGGACTGGACCCACGCCTGGGCAAGCTGGATATGTGGGAACTACCAGTCGTGGCGATTTATTTCCTCATCTCAGTTCACATTAAGGTCTCAGCACTATAGTCTCACAGGTTCAAACTCACTGTTGATGCCGATAGTCCCCATATTTCTCCCGAGTTTGGCACAAGGCCGACGTCGCATTTGAGTGACCACATCTCATCATTGCATCTCAGCGATCGATTCGAGCAATCTCAGACGATGTCCATCAGAAGGAGATACGCGGCCTCACGAATCGCCTTGATCATTATATCCCAAACCCACCGCAATCTTGTGCTCGCCCGAGCACGCTAAAACACAGCAGTCACAGATTGATATATCCTCGTGAGACACGTTGTGCCAGCGTTAGTCTTAGGGTCCCATCATGTGTCAGGAAAAGGCGTGAACTCGGCGCGTGTGTTCGACTATTGGCGGAAGCAAGATTTTCTATTCGGTGCTGCTCGGCCGGTGAGATCTCTCACGATGCCCCTGCTCGTCAGACCTAGCACTGCTCATCGCTTAGGTCGTACAGGGCTCAGCATCCATTGCAGTAGTCGATCCAGTGCCTGGTGGTCACGCTGAGGCTACCATGCTGCAACCACAGCCGGTCACTCCTTGATGACGTTGACCTAGGATTCGCTATTATAATCTCAGGTGCACAAGACTGGATCGTTGCTATGGAAGGCGGAGTAACATGCATGAGTATTCGATAGTGTCTAGTGAATCTTGTCGGGTTGTGTACACAGTATCGGGAGATAATGACACTCATGAAACAGGCTGCTGCGCACTCAAACGATGCCGCTACGCCATTCTTTGATCACAGCCCTGTTGAATCCAACTTGTGTCCTCAGTATGCACTCCATACTCGTATACGACGAATTGCTCTACACTATGGAGTAGTTCGATGTAGACGTATCCATGTGGACTGCGTGTCGAATGAAACCTTCCCGGCAGCATCCCGCCGAGTCCAGGACTGATAGTACTACGGCTGAGACCAGCACCGACGCGATCACGGTCCGTTGATGCAAGGTTTCCATATCAAAAACTTCGGAGTCAATGATTCACGGTTCATGCATTCCATTCGTGTCACAAGACTGCCGATTTCTCTTCACGGGGTGGACGTTCACCCGTTACAGGATTCATTGTAACAGACTCTACCAGCCATGCGATGCTTCAGCCAGAGTGATTCAGGGAGGTCAGTACTAATGGACGCAACACAGCCGATATTAAAGCGGGATGTCCCGTAAAAAGAGTATTCCTACATCAAAAAGTGCTCGAGTTTTATTCTATTGGAATATCAACTCGGGCTGATCGGCAATGAAAAGGTCAGTACCAGCTCGAGCAGCACGCAGAAAGCTGGAGGTTTATCTTGACCTTCATTCCGCAAAATGATGAGCTTAAATCATATAACAAGGCCACTGTGGATGCAGCTGTGCGGGTGTATACCCGTTACTATCTCGCGCCATGTTGACATCGCGCAGGTCTAAAAGAGGCCAACTCAGAAGAAGGAATGATGAGGAGCTTACTTTTTCCATGATCTGATCCTCGATTACGGTTCTCGGAACGACCAGCATACGAAGCAATCTGTCATAGAGCAAAGCGTCCGATGTTGCGAATTATCATCCCAGTACTCACCAGCCTTACGATATTCTCAGCACCAAGCTGATGGGCATAGTGTAACGGCGTGCTTCCAGCTCTGAGGGACGACAGTAATCACCATCCTAGTGCACACTCCAACTTACGCAAAATTGTTCTCGCCAACAGTGATCGAGTAGTTAGTCCTGATGGACGGATCAGCGCCATTTTCCAACAATACTTGTGCGATGTCGTATTCAAGGAAGCCCACAGCAAAATGAAGTGGAGTCTCACCGTCCTGAATAACACAGCAACTGTATTCCCCCAGTGAGCAGTAAATGAACGCAGCCCTCCTGACCGACTAGCCGTGAGCCCGAGAGCTCACCCCATCTTGTGCATTGGGTTGTGCTCCATGCTTAAGGAGGGCACGAACGATTTGGAGACGAGTACGGGAGGCACCGTCCTGTCGGGCGACGGCGCAGATGAGAGGATTGGCACCCTCCTGAGAGAGTCGGGCTGAACTCAAATCTTCGTATTGAAAACTCACTCTCCTTGTGAGCTTAGTGGGATCAGCTCCTTGTTCCAGCAGGAAGTTGACGATTTTACCATGGCCCTTGTACGCCGCCCAGTGCAGAGCAGACCAGCCCAGCTGAAAGATGACTTTGAATGAACAATGACGACCGCCATCTTAGTGCTGCTTACTTCGTCGGTGGAGTCTATCATAACTGTCGGGGTGGAAGCCTCGACACTGCTTTTGATGAGATCTTTCATTCTGTCGAGTTGCCCAAAAATTGACGACTGAATCAGGCTTTCGATCTTGTGCATCCTCTTCCCGATCGCCGTAAGGGAATTCTCGATTTTGGTTCTCTCGTCTGGTGTCAACTCTCGCCCGTCATTCAACAAGGAAAATAGGCCTGTCGCGACAAAATATTCCCCGGAATGTGTGATGAGAGAGCAGCACCTCGTCTTCCCTCCTCAAGCGAGGCAATATCGAAATCATCGGGGCTTAGAGCAGTTGGACATAAAAATTCCTGAACGCTCGCCTCACACAGACCGAGGGCCACAAAAGCGGGAGACACACCTGTGTGGTGGTACTTTCACAGTCTGCTGGTGAGGGCATCATAGATCGATCACATGCTGATTCGATGGGTGCATGAGCATCTCCTTGTTCCCAAGGTGCTCGGGTGTTGCCTCTGAGGAGGAGGCATTCTACCCAGATGTGACAGCCGCTATCCCACTCGATATGGACACCCATGCAGTTGTACTCCTGGTCAACGGGATCGGGGTTGGATGGAGCATTAGACGAACGAAGAATAGACAGAATTTCTTGATCGTCATTGCCGTGTGCCAGCTCTACTGCTTTCAACAGCTGAAAGAGGGCAATGGAGATAAGCATGAAAATCATCAACAGTGAACACTCACTTGCTCAGTGCTGATAGCAGGTTTGTATCGGACTAGGGCTTCCACGGCAGCCTTTTGTCTCTGTTGGACAGCCAGGACCAAGGCTGTACGCCCACACTGAGGAATGATGCAGAATAACCGTCAAGACGACACTCTCCCCCCTGGCACAAACTCACACTGTCTTCGGCGTTGAGGTCAACCCCCCTTTCAATGAGGAGCTGAATCGTACGAGGATGTCCATTAACCGCCGCGAAATGGAGAGCCGTTTGACCGTTCTGGATGAGCTCTATCGGTCCGATCACGAGTTCATATTCCCTCACCTCATTCACTGTTCCAAGGTCAGCTCCACGAGCTATCAGTGTGTTGAGCTCGGAAAGGTCACCCGTCGAGGCAGCCAACTCCAGGTCAGTCCAGCCCACCAGACCACGTCTAATCCCGGACTCGGCGCCAGGCGAGCAATTAAAGAATCTGGAAACGTGGGTACTGCGATGAGCTCCATGTTCGATAGGTTACCTCTGGGACTGATACTGAACAGCGTGGTGGTGGGGTAGGGCAGAAGACGCAGGGCCAGCGAGCCCTCCAAAAGCGCTGGTCATAGAAATGGCCCCTCTTCGAGGTGCATAGGATACAACAGGGCGCATCCAGGAACAGAATTTGGGCATCGTTGACAACATCTTTCATGTACTGAACTGAGATCCAATAACACGTCCGTGCAAGATCGACCTTTACAAAATGCTTTCTCCAAGATTCGAAAGCGACGTGTGCATGCGTGCAAGAGCACAAGATGGGCGTAATAGATTAAGAACTGCATATAAACGCTGTCGCCGTGCCAAGACACTTTTTGAGGGATGCCTCTCCAGGTGGTATTCCTATTACTACCCAAGAGAGGAATAACCTATGGTGACACTGAGAGAACTCCTTTCGTTGGATAAACAAGGTTAGCACGCGTGCACAACCATGTGTGAAATTCGAATACGGGGCCTATCGACATTAGCCAGCACAACACGTTGAATAATATGGTGTCAGAAGCATCTACATAATAATCAATGGACACTCAGAGGATCGAGGAGGAAGGATGGACATCATACACCTGGCGAGCCCTCTCTAGATGCGCTCCACTGGACAGGATGACTCGATGAAGCGAGACAGTGTCACCGTGACACCCCACTGTGAGACAACTCACAAAGCGAATACACGCAGACAGCATCAGATGCTCAGAAGCTGAGCATAGCAGTCTGACGTGCAAGGGGCGGCTCGTCCCCACGTCACCTCCTAGGCTTCGACTCTTCGTCCCTCACAATGCAGTCAAGAACCGGAGGGCAGGGGTCGGTAAATTCCACTGTTTGCTGATTGCGCAGCACTCGGATGACGATACTGAAGTGAACTCACCCACGGAGCCTCATTTCGTCGTCCGAGTTGCATCGCAAAGGGCGTTGCTGTCGAGCCGAAGACGGATATACGAACTGCCAGTTTTACGATATCGCGCATTTCTTTCGGTTACACGGCAAGCGACAGCTGTCTCCAACAGACGATGGACTCTGGAGAGCTGAACGATCACGAGTGGGCGCACTTACGTTCGAAAGGAGATTCTGGAATGTGAACGTGGTCACACGTATTTCCAATCATGATCGAGTATCTGATCATGTACAGTTTGACAAAGACCAAGGGTGAACTATAGGAAAGCCTACAGAAAGGTCCCTTCACGATGGAATCAGTTGTACAGCGGATTATTCTGAGTAGATGATAATATCTACAAATTCGACGTCCAAATAGTGACCAGTGATGATGCCAATTTCTTCTCAAACCACTACCAAATATTGTCTTTGTCGCGGCACGCCGTCTTCGGGTTTCACACGTTTGCAAACCTATCCATATCGTATACAGTGTGCATAAGTGCTGCCAAGGATGAAGTCGCTGATATCACACAGAGCCGGAGAGAATAGCACACATGAATGACACAAGCGGTAGCTCTTTTATATCTCACAAAGAGACAGACGCCATAACTCTAACGATGAGGGTTCCGGCCAGGGCGGTACTTCCTATAACCAGAAGCTCTCCGGAAGCTTCCGAACCCACGAGACTGCACCCCAAGGCGATGAATCAGACAGAGGGCTAGGGACGAATCTTGCGCTCATGTGGCTGCCCTACTCCCATGAAGATCTCATTAGGACGCGGTCTATTCGATAACATAGTAAATGCTTGGAGGCTAAGGTATGCAAACAATACCCTCTACCTCCCACGCCTGCGGTCGTGAGTAGCTGTTGATTCTAAAAACGCCTTTAGCAAATTCAGGAGGGGAAGATGCGTAAAGAAGAATATTAACTCTCGCCGATCCGCACAGGAATGTCCACGGCTAGGGCTGATAGTAACGATATGTTAGCCTATTGTCCTCAACCTGATGTCATTAAGAAGTTGATAACGAGGGCAACTATAATGTACATGCTACTAGGGATATCATGGGTCCTGTCATAATGACGATACAGTGTCTACTACGCTCACTCGGGCAATGATGACAGCGCATTCATGATAACACTCGGAATGCTATTCCACACTAGCGGCGCCCACATTAAGAATAATCACTCTTGCTAACTTGAACGAACTCTCTAAATTCGAGCGCACCGATTTCCAAGAACTGGTCGTATTTTGCCGTCGCGGCCCTGGTCGTCGAGCACGCAAAATCTACACGGCTAGCGATTCAGGAAGTGTTCCAACGTGCGCTCCCCAGCGTGATCATCACGCCGTGATGTTACCGACTTGCATAGCGAGTGATAACTCTAGTGACGCTGGACACGAAATATAGTGTCGCGGTATCAGTTAATGAACTCTAAGAACAACACGACAAGGGAACTCGAGTTAGAGCAACCAATAGTACGACCCTATGACGATAACCATAAGTGCACTACCTGCATTTAAGTTCTGCACGAACACCACACTATGCTCAGCACAGTAATCGATATTGGGCTCATTCGGTGTAAAGAGGAAGGCGAAGGTTTGATAAGATAAGAAGGTGCAGGCGAACTGGACCCACAACAATAGTGATGGTCACTGGACGTCTCGTGGTTCGTGCGAGTCCTCCAAATTGCATGTTGCGATCCTGGAAGTGGTTCGAACCTGTTTGGTTTCAATTCGGCCGGTCGCAAACTCATTGAGCAAGTTCCTTAATAACACAGCCCCGCGTCGATCCTGCCAGAAGGAAATGAGATTGTCTGATCCGCCTCTTCTGGCAGTGTTCAGGCTGACTGAATAACGCAACACAGAGCTCATTGAAATGGCTAGCACATCGGCTATAACAAAGCGTTGGACATTTAAAGTGATACACACACTTCCTTAATGTTGTCACACGCTGTGACTCGCAACACCGTGGTGGGAAAAACAAAGTCCAATACACTATTTCTGCTGTAACAGGACGATCAAGTATATTCCCGCTAACGTGCGCGCCACATTGCTACCTGAATTCTCTTCATTACGGCGGGTCATTATGATCGATAATTCATCGGACTTGATAACTCAACATAGTCGCCCTAGGTACAACAGTCATAACAGGGCTAGCCAACACTGCTAGCCCGACCAGCATGATGTGAAATTCACGACGTGAGGAGACTCAAAAGAGAATAAGTGGCAACCTCTGGGGTAAACTTTCGAACACTGTTGATTGCCAGACTGGACGACCAGACTGCAAATCTGTCGAATGAATCTCATTCGCTCTTCCTGCTGTCTGCGGCAGTCTGCCCTCGATCATTCAAGATGCTCATCAGATGCTCCACGCCTGAGAAATGACGCACAACCCGTCTCGATGATTGAACAGCACCATGACAATTATGTTGACCAAATTCGATTTAACAGACTCACCTCGAGAGTTCCTGTCTCGAACACAAGTGGGCCCTCGCAGCTTTCGAGGGTTCAAGTGATCAACAATCTGAGAGAAGGCAGTCTGATCACGAACATCATCTTCGTAGGCATGCGTCTAGTGTAATCCGTAGCATACGAGCCATGATAGCTTACCATAATAGCAAGCTCCTCTCGTCCCAATCCCAAAGCATAGTGCATCGGGGTGCTGCCAGCTCTGAAGAGAACACATTCTTCCTAAGAGCCTAGACAGATCCCCCATACCTCAGCACGGCAACGTTTCCACCTTCTCCTTCGTGGCCCACCCGATATGCAGAACGGGACTGCTTGGTTACATCACATTCGTGAAGCAAAAGAGCTTTAAGAATACGTGGTCGGTTATAGAGCACAGCGAGATGCATCGGAGTATGGCCATTATACTGAAACTAGGATAATTACACAGATGCTGACACGGGAACTCACAAGGCACTGTATGTTCCCATCTGCTCCGTGCGCCAGCAGGCAGGCAACGATATGTAAACTGCCCGAATAAACAGCCCATTGAAGCGGAGTCCAGCCACGTAACTACTCAATGAACAAAAGGACTCTCTGAAATTCCGTTCTTTGCGAGTTTCGCTTCCCGTAACGCCCAGCAACCACACGAGACCGTTTCCCTTCTTACTTCGCATAATTTATTCACATCTCCACCAGAAGCGAGAACGAACTTAGTCTTTCTGACGCTACCATCACATGCAGCTCTATGCAGGGCTGTGAACCCACCCTACAAGGAGATGAGCTTCCAAGGGGCAATAGTGTCCTCATACCCACCTGCATACAGTCGGGGTTAATCGGGATAGGCATCCTTCGCATCCTGAACTTCACCCGGTCTTTGTAGCACCGCGGGAGCACTGCCTCCATGATGGCCTCGGAGTCGCCATTGACGAATCCCCAAACATTCTGGCCGTATTCACGGGCTCGTCGAATGGCTCGATGGAAGTCACGGACACCCTTGCCCGCTACAGCTCGACCAAAGTGGTCCTTCAACTCCAAGAGAGCCGAGAGATCTGTGAGAGGTTCACCAACGACGATGGCTAATCCCGAAGCCACACCTCGGGTTTTCCGCAAAATGTCTAAGTACTTGGTGTCTTTACTCGTGGGACCAACGTGCTCAACAATCTAGTACAAGATGATACCGACCGGTTGTGAGCTGTTGCATCATCCTACCACTCGTATAACAGCAGCATCACCAGTCATTGCGGCTACGTGAACTGCTGTGATTCCAGATCTACAAACGCCGGAGAGTTGATCAGCATATCGCTGTGATCAGGGTGGCTCCTACGGGCTCGACTGGGTTATATCAGCTCCGCGATGGAGTAGATCAGCCACAAGGTCCGCTCTTCCCCACAGCGCCGCCCGCAAAAGCCTTGGTCTTCCTACCTGCCACCATGAAGATAACAACCCAGAAGAGTCATCAAACGTACATCGTCAACTCCAGGAGCCATATCGTCTGCAGTCTGGACCATACTCTCATGAACTGGACCGGCAGAGACCGAGGTAAATGCGGAAGTTGACAATTCTTCTCTAGAGGTAGTAGCAGTCCTGCGGAACACGACCATAGGAAGATCTCGAATGATCATCCCGCACTTACACATCATTCAGCTGGTTCTTAGTTTGTATTGCTACACTCTTGGTGGATCCATCATCACGATATACTCCAACGAGACCTGGTGCCTACTACATGCAGGCCTCTCATGAGCATTCGGACGGGAGCCACCCCACCTGTGGTAGTACGAGAGAAGTTCGCGCTCCCGATTTCCACCTCGACTCAACAACAACGCCCCCATGCGTATCTCGAGGAACCATAGGGAGGTAAGGGCCGAGCACTTCCACCTGCCAGACATACAGCTGCGTCGTAGTGGCCCTCAGAAAATATCGGCTGCCTTGCGTGACTTACCAACTCTTTGGAGTTCGGTGGTAAAGACCCTCCATCGTTGAAGGACCGCCTCATCGCAGCAGCCACCTTACAGACTGTCACTAAATCTCCATAACGCTGGAAGACACAAGTACTTCACCACAGTGCATTCTTCGGTGAGCCCTACAGTAGCACGGTTCCTTTGGCAGTAGTCTTCTAGCAGCAGTGTAGTGCACGCGTAGTCAGTTTTGCAGGCTGATGGACTTCCAAAGAGATGAGGCGGAGGAAGCATACACCTGTATCAGATCGAGAAGACTCGTAGAGTATCTTCTCACGGGACGGTCCTGTGCGGCAGTAGCTTCATCGACTCGAGTTGCCCTCTTGTTCTGGTCAGGCGAGTGATGAACATTTCAATATGTCTACCTATGAGTCTAGAGAGTTACTCGCCCATCTATAGTGACCAACGCAATGTCAGAGTGTGGAATGCAGATGGTGGAGAAGTTGAGCTATGAGAAAGGTCCGCCAGGGGGCGTCACGAACGAGTATAGGATTGTATAGTAGAACTTCTCAAAGGCTAAGAATGGATGCTTACCACAACATGGCGAAACGACGACGACCAATGAATATGCACGGAAAGTGCAGGAAATACTCTCATCGTCGTTATGATTGGTGATGGCGCTTCGAGGAGACATAGAAGGAAGGAGGGCAGACAGATGAGGAAATGAGGACGTAGCGTACGGTAAGGGTTCATTCGTTTCAGTCTGCTCGTTTATGGGTACTACAGGGTGATCGAGAAAATGCCCATCGCACGTAGCTTCTTAGCACCTGTGAATATCAGACTAATCCGGGTACCATTTTGGACCACTCGCGGTGCTCTTTTCAATGGTAGTTGACCATTTCCATACTCTTCCTATTCGCTCGCTGAGTTATTCACAATACGAAGAAAACCGCATATAGAGGGAAGTGCTGGCAGAATCCATTTCTGCCGTATCAATGGTCCAACTCAGCGATATGGAACATTATTTCATCATTTGCTTGCGGTACGATAAACCTGGTTTGGGTGCCGCAATGATGAGGGTGGAGGAGGCCGATGATGACGAAGCTTGTACGGCCAAAATGTGTCAAATCGCTCTCATCATCGTTCTGAAATTGGTTGTGAAATCTGGGTGTGCTATGGCCTCGGTGGAGGAACAAGTCCTCCTCGACTAGGTTTGGGATCCAAACCTAGTACGTGGGCCTGGTACTAATGCGATGGAGGACACTATCTAGACTCGTCGTTCTATTAGAGAAATGTGGTTATCAGCTGTACGAATGCTTGAGGGAGCGTGGAGTTCAACCATCGGGCAAGACTGAGGAGCTACGGGGCTATACCTGTCCCCTCCCGACAGTACGGCGGTGATAACTGAGGGTTTCTAGGGGGAATGAGCTACTTCGACGAAGGTGCTTGAACGATCGGCGTGCAATAGTGATCGCCTCATGGATGGTCTTACGGGCGTTTGTAGTGGCGATTTGGTTCATTTATGTGATTATCCATCCGAAGAAGTGGTTTAGGCTGAGTGAACGCGTTTCTAATAGGGAGGCCTATTCCTATTCCTATCACAAAAATGGCGGTGTGGACAGTCGGTGGGAGCATGGGTATATTGGTCTGAACTGGAGTATACTTGCAATCAAGTTTCTGAATACCATTCATCGTACCCTAATATCGTTGCGTTGGCGTTGTCTCATCGAGAAAGATGCAGCGGGACTTTACTGAGTCTTGGTCGTTGTTGTTGTTTGCTTTATGACCACAGCCCATCGCCCCACCTTCCATAATGCTCTGG